GTTGTGATGAGATTCCAAGTAATTAATTTGGCATTTTTAGGGTCAGGGAATTGAAGAGTGATATAATCAGTGACATTTAAATAACAATAAGCTGATTTGCTGTTGCAGTGACGTCACTTTTTTCAAATTTTCTTGAAAAATCTAAGCATTTTTGATTATGGACAAAAGTGCTACAATGACGGTATTTGTCACGCAGAAAATAAATTGTGTGAAATTGTGCGGCTCCTTGAATTTGGTCTTTACCACATCCATTTGTTTTGACCATTTATTATAGCTGGAAGACGTAACATTCTTATATGTGTTGTATATTACGGGTAATGAGGTATGGGTTAGGAGCCAGACAGAAAGGAACGTGGTAACCTGAAATAGATTAACAGAGTGGCCGGAAATGGTGATGGTACGTCTTTTAATAATGTATTACAAACGGGGGCCGCCCGATAGTCTGAAGGTCCAATAGTCCGAAGGTTCTTTAGTCCGAAGGTTCGATAGTTCAAAAGCACAAATTTTCCATAAGGGGGGGGGGGGGTTCGTTAGTCCGAAAATGAAATAAGGTTCGTTAATCCGAACATTTGAAGCAATAGTCCGAAGGATCATTAATCCGAAGGTTCATCAGTCTGAAGGTTTATTTATCCGAAGGCTCGATAGTCCGAATTTAGAATAAGGTTAATCAGTCCGATGGTTCAATAGTCCGAAACGAAAATAACAAGCCCGCGGGAACGGGGGGTGCTGTGGGTGCTGCAGCACCCCCAACTTTTTGGATTGGGGTGCTGAAATATGTTTCAGCACACCCTACTCCCGGGCAAAAATGTGTTCCAGCCAGCAGTGTTCTACGATGTTGAAATTGCGCCGCTGCGCTATACATTATGCTTGCTCTAAAAATATCTCCTTCGTTTTGTTCGTTTCTAGTTTTGCCGCGGCTAAGCGCGGCGCTTCGAACGTCTAGCACAAAGTAACACTGTAAAATATCAGGAGGAGGTATTTTCTAAATTTTCAGGCAGTGCAGAATCGATATTTCTCTCAATGTATCTAAAGTCATGACATGTCTATTCCGCCATGATGGAAGCTTTGACCCGAAAAAAATAACCTCGGCCATGACAATGGTGGCAAAGTTGATTATGCTTGCCACGATTTTTTTTCATTCGATCTTTCAATAGGGGCAAAGTTCATACCTTTCCCCTGAAGGTTTTTCTTTTCATTTAAAAGTTTCATTGACGTTGCTAGCATTTTGTACTCAACATTAACAAATATCAAGGTTCACACACATCCCAACCTAATAGGAGTGGGACGGGCTTCCAGTGGAACCATTTTGTTTTAACTTGAACCAAAAAACACTCTTTCGGGTTTTATAAGTTTAAGTATATACTTCAGTATATTTCATCACAGTGCATCCAGAATCCAACATTTTCAGGGGCCTTAAAGCAGGCCCCTGGCCCTGTGTCCCCACGCCGTAAGGGCTCGGAAAATAAAACAAAACATACACGACGGAATTTACTAAATGTAAGAAAGCAGCCTAGCAACAATATTATTTACATGCGATGTCATGCATAATGATACGATTCTTTGTCCATAATTAAATGGAACAAAGAATGGAGATAAAAATACAGGGTTTTCGACTTTTCAGTACAGTAGAAACGTTATAAGAGCAACATTATATTCTAAACAAAAACGTGAAATAAATTGTCTTTATAATTTCAAAAAAACGTTAGCTAAAAAAGTCGCGGCGCTTCGAACGTCTAGCACGAAGTAACACTGTAAAATGTCAGGAGGCAAGGGCGGATCCAGAACACAATTTTTTTTTGGGGGGGGGGCCAAAAAACAATTTTGGTCCCCCCAAAAATGTGGGTCAAAAAATTACGGCGTGGGGTTCGGTGCCCGCTTAAGGGCCCCGAAAATTTTTTGGATTCTAGATGCTCTGTGGTGCGATCTGAGGCAATTTCTGACCACATTAACCAATGTTTTTTTGAGGAAAAGATGGTGGTGTACTCATTGCCTGCCTTTATTGCAATGTCACATAAAAAAAATTAAAAAAATGGTTTCTTTTTTTGGGGGGGGGGGCATGGCCCCCTTTTGGCCCCCCCCCCGGATCCGCCCTTGTCAGGAGGAGGTATTTTCTAAATTTCAAGCAGTGCAGAATCGATATTTCTCTCAATGTATCTAAAATCATGACATGTCTATGATATTTCCGCCATGATGGAAGCTTTGACCCGAAAGCAAATAACCTCGGCCATGACAATGGCGGCAAAGTTGATTATGCTTGCCACAATTTTTTTCATTCGATCTTTCAATAGGGGCAAAGTTCATACCTTTCCCCTGAAGGTTTTTCTTTTCATTTAAAAGTTTCATTGACGTTGCTAGCATTCTGTACTCAACATTAACAAATATCACGGTTCACATACATCCCAACCTAATAGGAGTGGGACGGGCTTCCATTGAAACTAGTTCCAGTGTAGTTTCGTTTTAATAAAAAAGCTATTCATGGAACAAAGAATGGAGGTAAAAATACAGGGTTTTCGACTTTTCAGTACGGTAGAAACGTTATAAGAGCAACAGTATATTCTAAACAAAAAAGTGATATAAATTGTCTTTATAATCTCAAAAAACGTTTGCTAAAAAAGTCATATGAAAGTTGCTATGAATCGCCTCATATTGCACCACAGAGCATCCATATTCCAAAACTTTTAGGGGCCCTTTAAGCCACGCCGTAAGGGCTTTGCGCTCCGCGTTCGCATTAATTTTGTCCGTCCTTTAGAAATTCCAGCACCCCCTGGCAAAAGTTTGTTCCAGCGGGCTTGAAAATAAGGTTCAATAGTCCAAAGGTTCGATAGTCCGAATTGACAATAAGGTTCGATAGTCCGAAAAGACTCTATGATGGTCCGATGGTCCGAATCGACAGTAAGGTCCGATAGTCCGAATCAACAAGGTCCGATAGTCCGAATCAACAAGGTCCGATAGTGCGAAGAGTCATACTGACGAACCGTATTGCCCATTCGGACAATCGAACCTTATTCTCAATTCGGACTATCGAACCTTTTTCTCAATTCGGACTATCGAACCCTATCGTCTATTCGGACTATCGAACCTTCGGATTAATTAACCGTATTCTATTTTCGGACTAATGGGACCTTTGGACTATCGAACCTTCGGATTATCGAACCTTCGGACTATTGAACCTTCGGACTACGAACCTTTGGACTAATAACCCTTCGGACTAGAGAACCTTCGTACTATCGGGCTGTAACCATTACAAACACAATACCAGTGCAGCAAGTCATGTCCTGCAGTTTGTAAAGGTTTTTAGTTTGGGACGTGAAAAAGACAAACAATTATCCATGATGCACAAGCACAAGTGTGTTTCTCGATTAAATGCACCATCCTTGTCGTTGATGGACCGTCTATCCTATTGAAGTATCCATCAGACATCATCTTCTGTGTGACACGAGCAGAGGATCTCTGAAGGTCCACTGTGTGAGTAATTTATCCTTTCTTGTTTCCACAAAGCTGGATTGCGACTGAGATCGTGCAAATAAATACTCTTTAAAAAAGCTTCATCTGTAGTCTTGTTTATTAACTATTAGAGATTTTGGTAAAAATGAACAGAAGTCTTTGTAGAAATTGTAGATATAATTCATCTTGCGTAAAATATACCTTTGCAAGTTTACAAACTTCCACAAAACGTATTATTTTGCAACATTGGAACGTATAATTGGTGTGAACATTCTACCTTTTTATTACTTATGTGAACTGTTACTATCGTATTTCAGGACAGTCATCATGGATTAGACTGCTTGCATTATCTGCATGCAAACTACACCAGAAAAACTACGTTGTCCACAAAAAGGTTTAAATTGTAACGCCGGAGAAGTATATGCTCAATTCCTGGCTAATGTTGAAGGGTTAAGGGCAATAAATGCATTGCCAGTTGATGTAGAATACGGAGCCAAAGGGACAGTAGAAACTTTTGTGGAAAATAATGCCTCGTGGCATCATTTCTGAGGTAACATTTATGAGATAATCATGACGTAAGACATTGCATTTTAACGAATCATTGATCACAACAGGGGATAGGATCGAGGAGCGAGGGTCAAATGTACATGTACATACATGTTTAATTTAATACATTAAATTAGAAAACATCCCTCATTTTATCAAACTATTTGTATTTAAATCTTTTAAAGAACTAAGAACAAAATTGGCAACTGCATGATTTCCTTGATCTCAGAAACGTATATTAAATGTAAAAAAACGATCCATGGCTTATTCCTAACTAATATCTCAATTTTAATGTATAAGTGTGTAATAATTAGCCGATGACGTCATAATGATGTAATAAATGGCCCTTTCAATCATCCAATTTTTGTTTCCTACCTTGTTTTCGAAAAGGTAAACAATGGAGATAGGCCTACTTTGGTGTGAAAATGGTGCTTTTGTCCACCCGTGTCACGATTTTATCACTAAGGTAGTGACCACGCCCTGCAAGTCACTGCTCTTAGCTAGTGGATCAGTTACAGCTGACCACAAGTAGGCTCTTATCAGTCTAAACATGCTAAAACATCAGGTAATCCGCTGCAGGCACTACATGCTTCATTAGGCTTGAACCTTAGAAACTGAGGTTCGAGAAAATGCATTAGATTGGGCTCAGTTCTGTAATGACTGATTGGGGACTCTCTACGTTTCATTTGTAGTTTGCAGTTCTAGATAATTTGTTTTTCTTGTTAAATTTTGTTTAATCTGTATCATTATTATGTGCAAATTGAAGATAAATCAAATCAAATTAAACCAAATCAAATCAAATCAAATCAAATCAAATCAAATTAAATCAAATCAAATCAAATCCTTCCCATTTGAGTTTTAGTCTGTCACACTGGTTTTGCAATTTTGCAGTGCGTAAGTTTCCGTGATCATTGATGTTTGTAACTATCCCCGATTGTGGATTCGATTTCCATTAGATTGCCATTTTCATTTCTGCTTCATCTTTTGCAATGGAACACGGACCATCTTACCTCGATGTGTTACGATGAGAAGAGGCAGTATTCACCCTGGGTTGAGTAGGTCTACCGGTAGCTAGTCTCAACTCCTGACTGTAGACATGTTCCTGCCTGGTCTCAGTTGCGTGAAAACCGCCCAGAAAAACCCAAATGGTAGCAGCGAACGAAACCACAGATATAAGAAAAGCAAGTCCGCAGATACGGCTCCGCGATATCCGACTACATGTACATGCACGGAAAATCCACAATGAGAGGCCGCAATATCTACCCGTGCTGCCGGCGCGTCCCACCCATTTCGCCATCGCTACTGTCTGGAATCGGTGACTTTCAACCGTCCTACCAGTAAAACTTAGTGCACGATTTGTTGTATCCTATTGTACACGGACTGGTTCAGGTAACACACGTCTGTCGATACTGAAACTGAACGTTAATCGTGAGTTTCCTGTTAATGTTGGGAATATCTGTTCTAGAATAACATATGGAGCTGATTGTCTCACTTAGGGCGCCGCCAACGATGGAACAGAGATAGGCGTGTAGAATTCGATGCCGAGAATGCTTTGTCATTTTTAAATCACTGTATAATGCTCATTTGAAGTACTCCGCACAATTTGTTCACTCGGTATCTGAAACTACAGTTATTCAAGATCATTTTGTGAGAAAATTGTAACAAACTGTGAATCTTTTGTGTTAGTAATATCCTTGAAGTTCGACTTGCATGTTTTAACCAAAACACGCGCAATGTTTATGGGTCTTTGTTCAAGCAAATCACAACACTATCTTCCGCGCCGTGTCGTGACCCATTGAACCTCATTATACAATTTGTTCACACGGCATATGCAAGAATGGCTCATGAATATCCGATTAATATTTGAATAAAACGTCAATATGCAAATTTTATGTAAGTACATTGTCCTTTCAAAAGAGGTTCACCGTACCGTGTCGTTGATCGCGTTTCGGGGACATCCCATTACCATATTTGGTCATAATGAACTGTTTCATTTCTTTGAAGGATTTATTTTAAGAAATTAAACGGCCAACTCATTTTCGAATGAGGTTTCATTGAAATTATCTTGCATGCTCCACAATGTAAAAGCTTTGACAAGTTTTTCATAGTCAGAGGGCCTGTTTTGTTAGGCCTAGGCTCAAGGGCGGATCCAGAACACAATTTTTTAGGGGGCCAAAAAAATTTTTGGTCCCCCCCCAAAAGTGGGTCTAAAAAATTACGGCGTGGGGTTCGGGGCCCGCTTAAGGGCCCCGAAAATTTTTTGGATTCTAGATGCTCTGTGGTGCGATCTGAGGCAATTTCTAACCACTTTAACCAATTTATTTTGAGGAAAAGATGGTGGTGTAATCATTGCCTGCCTTTATTGCGATGTCACATTAAAAAAAAAAAAAAATTGGTTTCGTTTTTTTTTTTGGGGGGGGGGGGGGGCATGGCCCCCTTTGCCCCCCCCCTGGATCCGCCCTTGCCTAGGCTAGGCCTAAGTATGCGTGCTGGAGCAGAGCTAATGCTATTCACCCTAGAGTAGAATGGAAGTGACCATCTGACGACACACGCACAGCGGATGCACGGAGTAATGTCGCTGAAACTAATGAACGGTCGGGAAACACTCACATTTATCGGAAATTGATGCACTTTCCTCGATGTCAATTTGTTCGCCGGCTTTCCAAGAAGGCTGTGTGGGTCTTATTTTACAAGTAAATTGTCTTGGAATATATGGATGTCTCAAATTTGCGTGAAAAATATGGGTGGTTTCGACGCACGTTTCCGTCTGTTTACATGCCAAATCCATCGACACGTTCTTACGTTGCCATGAACGCGCGCGTAATGCGCGCACTGAATGTCACTCCTGATCGGTTAAAAGTGCGTATCCAGGGTGAGCGCTGTACAAATAAATAGCCCCCTCTATCGGCTATCCCGAAAAAGGAATGAGACAAACAGTTCCATAGGTCTCGGTATCGACTAGCCCGACTGCGTAGAGCGGGAGCCAGGGGGGGGGGGGGGGGTCAGCCTAGCTGGAAAGTTAACCAATTTTCATGTACTAGTGCAGTGCCCGTCTAAAATGTGCATGTTCGGGAAACGCAAATTGCTTTGCCGCTGGTATAGGTTGCATCATAGCAGAGTTTTGGAGAACTGCTCGTGCAAACAACGCACGCGATTCAATGGTGTTGGTTTCACAGGTTGAACGCACACTTACGTCAACATTTTTGCCAAGTTTGAAGTTCGACCACCTACAATGGTCGCTCAGTCGACGGCAAAAATAATGTGCCCGTGTACATACGAAAACATGGTACGCAGTGCTATTCACCCATTGATCCATTAGTATTCACCCATACTGGACAATGTATCGCCCAGCAATGCACGTGCGCGTGCCCGTCCTTTTGCATTGTTTGCGTCATATTGAGCACGCGCGCTTTAGCTTAAACTTGACGTAAACAATTGAAAAGAACGGCAGTGCGTGCGGGTGTTATGTTCTAAGCTATATATCACCCATACTGGACAATGTATCGCCCTACAATGCGCGTGCCCGTCCTTTTTGCATTGTTTGCGTCATTGAGCACGCGCGCTTTAGCTTAAACATGACGTAAACAATTGAAAAGAACGGCAGTGCGTGCGGGTGTTATGTTCTAAGCTATATATTGCCACGTTTGCCTCAGAAAATACTGCTTTTTTCAGCTTTTTCGAGAACCGCTGGTCCACACAACTTCAAACTTGGCACTGCACATTCTGTTGTCCCAAAAAATATACCCGCCGATTTTCAACTACATACGGTGCCCGTTTCTGGAGATAATCGACGGACAGACAGACAGACAGAGATTCCTGGAATTATAGTATAGATGCAGCAATGTTCCACATCTATACTACAATTCAAGGAATCTCTGTCTGTCTGTCTGTCTGTCTGTCCGTCTGTCTGTCTGTCCGCCGATTATCTCCAGAACCGGGCACCGTATGGAGTTGAAAATCGGCGGGTGTATTGCTCGGGACATCAGAATGTGCAGTGCCAAATTTGAAGGGGTTTGGACGAGCGGTTGTCGAAAAAGCTGCAAAAAAGCAGCATTTTTTGAGACTCAACGTGGCAGAGTATAGACTAGAACTCCACGCACTGCTGTTCTTTTCAATTGTTTACGTCATGTTAAAGCTAAAGCGCGCGTGCTCAATATGACGCAAACAATGCAAAAAGGACGAGCACGCGCGCGTGCATTGTAGGGCGATACCATTGTCCAGTATGGGTGAATAGCACTGCGTACCATATGTTTCCGTACATGATGACTGCACTGGCACATGCATTTTGCAGTCGATTGAACCACTATTGTAGGCGGTGGATTGAGTTACCTTACTCACGTAGGTGAGTAGCTGCACGGGCGTAATGGTGAATATCAGTGCCGGGGATGGCCTGGCGACATGTACAAAGTGCGCTCAACCTATGAGTGTGAGTTTAACCTGTGAAAACAACACAATTGAATCGTGTGCATTGTTTGCATGATATGAGCATTTTGAAATTGCCCCTAACGAACAGGTGCATTTTTTTGACGGGCCCTGCAAAAATGACGGGCACATTGTAGGGCGATAAGCACTGCACACTATGTCTTCGTACGTACATATACGTGAGTGGCATGCACGGGCACATGCATTTTGTACTCAACTGAGCAACCATCACTGCACTGTATGTGCCGGGGAGGGGGGGGGGGGGGTGACGACATTTCGTGAGTTTAACTTGCGAGTGTGCGTTCACACCATTGAATAATGTGCGTTGTTTGCACGAGCTGCAGTTTTCAACTGCCCCTTCCGAACACGCACATTTTCGACTGGCCCTGCACTAGTCTATACTACAATTCAAGGAATCTCTGTCTGTCCGTCTGTCCGTCTGTCTGTCTGTCTGTCTGTCCGCCGATTATCTCCAGCACTGGGCACCGTATGGAGTTGAAAATTGGCGGGTGTATTGCTCGGGACCACAGAATGTGCAGTGTCAAGTTTGAAGTTGTTTGGACGAGCGGTTCTCGAAAAAGCTGCAAAAAAGCAGTATTTTCTGAGGCCTTGCGCGCCAGAATATAGCCTAGAACACCACGCACTGCCGTTCTTTTCAATTGTTTACGTCCTGTTAGAGCTAAAGCGCGCCTGCTCAATATGACCAACAATGGAAAAAAGGACGGGCACGCGCACGTGCAAGTACATGTATGTAGGGCAATACCATTGTCCAGTATGGGTGAATAGCACTGCGTACCATATGTTTCCGTATGTGATGACTGCACGGGCACATGCATTTTGCAGTCGATTGAACCACTATTGGAGGCGGTGGATTGAGCAACCTTACTCACGTAAGTGAGTGGCTGCACGGGCGTATGGGTGAATATCAGTGCCGGGGATGGCCTGGCGACATGTACAAAGTGCGCTCAACCTATGAGTGTGAGTTTAACCTGTGAAAACAACACAATTGAATCGTGTGCGTTGTTTGCATGATATGAACATTTTGAAATTGCCCCTAACGAACAGGTGCATTTTTTGACGGGCCCTGCAAAAATGACGGGCACATTGTAGGGCGATAGCACTGCACACCATGTCTTCGTACGTACATATACGTGAGTGGCATGCACGGGCACATGCATTTTGTACTCAACTGTGCAACCATCACTGCACTGTATGTGCCGGGGGGGGGGGGGTGACGAAATTTTGTGAGTTTAACTTGCGAGTGTGCGTTCACACCATTGAATAATGTTCGTTGTTTGCACGAGCTGCAGTTCTTAACTGCCCCTTCCGAACACGCACATTTTCGACTGGCCCTGCACTAGTGCATACCAATGTAAGGAAATGGACGTCTGCCGGGCACACTGTGGTGGGTATGGTCAGGAGGGCCATGAGAAAGGGGCCACAAAATTGAGCTAGATCAGCTGGTGAGTTAACCCAATGAAACCTACTGGAAAATGTTGGGCCTAGTCCCAGGTATCATAAATGGCCACTGCCAGACATTTTCAGTGGTGGAAAGTGCCCGCCGGACATGAAAAACCTGTATAGGAGGGGGCGTGGCCATAACCCCCTCCCATTCCTTTTCGCCGATAAAGTAGCAACGCATCGATCGACAGACACTTTATCGACAGACACTTTAACACTGGTTAATATATTCATACATGGAAATACATATTATTTTCACTCTTTTGTGGGCGTGGCCTAAATATTTAAATCAGGGTGTGAATAATTGCATTCTGAATGAAACGAGGAAAATGTATGATTTTGCTGGCCAAACACAGAGTCAGCATTATTAAATTATGATTATTGTGCATTGTTACTTTCATTTTTAATCATTTTATATAAGTCAACAAAATAAACTGGAGTCATGTTTTGAAATAGGCACGTATTTTGGTAAATAACTGTGATATTATACTCTGGGGCCTGTGTGGGCCTACATGTACAGTTTTTATAATGTAAATAAAAACGTTGATGAAGGGCAAAACCCCTAATTTGATTTACATCACTCCGATGCAAATTCCATCGCTTCAATAGTTTTGGCGCAGTCCCTGCTGGCAGGGGCCACGGAACGGGGGGGACACTTGCCTCCCCCTCCAGATTTTTCCAGGTCATCAAAGTGCCCCTCCACCCAAAAAAAGTGGTCTCTCTACATAACTATAGTCAAATTCATGGGGGAACCCACAGAGGTTACTGGCGGGGGCGGAGGACGTATAATGTGCCGTTTGCCGAAGGTCCAAGGGCGGATCCAAGAGAATGGGGGGTAATGGGCCCATGCCTTTCCCACAATAACAAACCCAATTGTACTTTTAGTGATAATAAAATACAATAACGAACCCAATTGTATTTTTAGTGATGTCACAAAAAAGCAGCCACTACGTACACCACCATCTTTT